CATTTTCTGCCATTTTTCAACATGGTTACTAATGCATTTACCAAATAGTCGAGTCTTGTCATCTTAAACAAAGCTAAAGATCATTTTCTGGACGAAAGAAAAGTTAAATAAGGACGTTATTAAAAGCAGCAGTGGCTCTGTTATCTGAATATCTGAAGAAATTACAATAGTTTAGCCAGAAATCATCACTGATGGAGGTAGAGAATAGAAAGAATTATCAAAGAGCCCTGCAGCACGTTAAAATTGTTCGTTTGATAGTTCGATATGTGAGATTCAACGGTAATGAAATTTTCTCTTCGAGGTTACACAACCAGGCGAAGCCTGTCCGCACCTAACTTAACTATAACCACGTTATTTAAGAGCTGGGTAGCTAGATTCTTCTCAGAGTAAAACTGAAGTTTAAAAGCAGCTGTGGGCAATGATTTCTAGAACCTCCCTCAGCATCAAAAACGATTTTACTTAACACGCGCCAAATAATCTCGGGAGAACGGGACCAGGATTCGACTGCATGTGCTAATCCTCTTCTGTCTAAAGAGATAACTGTCAGGTCCAGTCCAGTCAAAATTTGGTCCCACTTTATAAGGTTCAGCAGAAAGATGCGATATGGTCAACATTAACTGAAGCTGACATCTAAAATACATAGATGAATTCACTTTATTTGACCGAAAGACTAAGTTCAATTTTGTATAATCAAGCAATAAAAAGTACTCATTTACTTCATTATAGTGTATGACGATGCTTTATTCCCAGTTTCTCAAACTTTGTCAATCCAAAAGGTGGAAGAATATTATTTTCTGTGCAATATTGTATATAATTCATAAGCAAAGTTCCAACAGCTTTCCGTCAAGCTAACTACACATGGCAGAATAGCAGAAAGAGAAGTCTTCATGCTTTCTTCCAGAACTAAATGATGCATGGCAGGAGAGAGTCAGTGTAACTGCAAGTTCGTCTCCAATTAAGCTGTTGCACGATACGGCAACAACATTACAAAACCCATATTTACAATAAACGTACAGCTGCCAATTTTAGAGTTACAACCTCAAACGACAAACACGAAGAAATGACAGATATAGCAGAGAAAACTTTTTTAAAAGCTCACCATTGTCACATTATTGTTCGCTGTATTCAAACCCAGCCAAGGTGGATAACAACTGCAAGCTGTTTACAAAGAGTTTAGTATCTAAAAGCATGGAAGTTTTTAAAAGTCAAGTAAACCAGAAACCGATAAATATAATGTACGAGCCGTTGTACGAGTGAAAGTACATCCGATAAGTAATGATTAAAAAGTAACATTTTTGTAAGCGAATTTAATTACTTACTTTAGCGTACTGCAATCTCATTTCAAAATATAATAATACATTGTTTCGCGGCTCCACATAATGCTGATTTTTGCACTGAATAGACAGACAGGCATCAGTTGACTCAAAACATGGTGCAGTGATAAAATGCATTTCCTTGCAACAGCATGATTCTACATCTCACCTTTTCTGGTATGACCCCAGTAAAGCACCATACTGTTCTATTACACTTCTACTGTCTGGCAACAATGACTATCGCCACAGAGATGGAAGAGCAATTCTGAGGTGCTTCGAATTTGCAGAATATATCATTATCCGTTGATAATACGAGCAACTGTGTCATTTTTTGGCGATTCGAAACGAAAGTAATTAGGACGAATTTTGTCGCTTTGTATATCCCAATCAACTCTATGGAAGACCCGGATTGCTGCAGTTTATATGCCCATCTCACCTTGTTTTTTGGCATCAATTGCCCAATTGTCAAATCCATCAGCAGACATAGACAGCACCAGGAGGTCGGTTCTGAAGCCAAATCGATCACGTGCAGATCAGCGGCATATGGCGAACTGCCCTCCATGAAGCGCGGGCGAAGCGACATACGGATGTTAGAACTGGCCATTTTCTAGTGGTCACAATAATCGTCCTTCCTCTGACAAGAAGTAAAGGAACATTGCGAATAGAAGAATACCCACTGTGGTACGGAGAAGTTGAAGGATTCGCATGGAAATCATCAGGAAATTCATCGCAATTAATGATATCACCATCTCCAAAGACCAGTAGTTGCTCCGTAGCGTCCTAAAATTTTTATCATAGACTCCTCTTCCAAGGTCATGGTCTTAGCAGCAAGAAGACAAAGATTCCCTAGGGGTACAAAAACATCTTGCAATATTTGCCACAAAACAAATGGCAAAACAGACACAGTCACGTGATGAAGAAAGATACTGTCGCCCTCTCGTGAAATCAGTCAACTGGAGCCACTGCAAAAAAAGACAACGGAAGCTAGACCTCGAAACGCTGAAGTTGCGAAAGACGGCCGCGAAAGAGGACTAGATGTGTTGCAACTTTGATAATACCATCTCATAAAGTGGTAAATAATATCAATCGGCGGTCTGTGCAATTTTTAACTCTCCTATATGGACCTATTCTTTCAGATAGTCTCCATATGTAGAGGAAGGTGGAAGAAGTGCA